GCCCATTCCAGATTTCCCATTTAGGTGTGTTCCAGTATAGCTTTACCTGCAGAACCAGGCTTGGGCCAGACGTGGCAGGTGGGGCCACTGTGTACCAACTGTCCATGTCCAGGAGTGCTTCAGGTGGGCAGTGAAAGCCTCTGGTCTGTAGTTGCCATCTCTGCTTCTCTGGCCTGCCTTTGTCTCCAGATCTCGGCCTGGTCAGGTCAGTGGGGCCCTGGGTCTGGACAGCAGAGCATGGGCCGGGTGTCTGGGGCCTCCTGTGTGCCATGTCCTTCTTGGGGCTGTTGGGGTCTGGGCATTTAGTACCATCAGAAATGCCAGCTGTGGGGGCCTTGGTGGGCCCCCACCTCAGGGGAAGCCAAGGTTTGGCTTGTTGCCTGAATGCACTGTCTACGGGAGCCCCACCTTCACAGGGGAACCCTGGTGGCTCCATTGTCTCCAGTCCAGCATGCCCTGAAGTCAGGCCTCATGCTCCACTCCTGCCGTGAGCCCCTGGACAGGTGCCCCACATCCTGGGCTCACCACCCTTGACACCTGATCCAGGCTGCATTCGCCCTCCCAAAGCCCCCTGCTCTGTCTGCACTCTTCCAGTGCCTCTGAGGCCCCCACTCCTGGCACGCCACATCATTGGTGCCCTCCACACCTGGCTTTGAAATCTTGCCCTGGGCTCCCTCATTTGGCAAACCCACCACTTCTGTCCCTGGCCTGGGTGTCTGAGCGAGCAGGTAAATTTGAAGCAGGCTGGCTGTGACATCATGCCTGGACTTGCCCAGCCCAGGCAGCCCCAGGGGGACATCAGGGCATTGCCACTGCCACCTAGAAGCCCAGACAAGTGTGCTGTGGTTAGAAGGCTGTCAGCCAGGGGGTTTTGTGGGTGGCAGTAGGTGGAGGCCCAGGCTGGATCCTTGGTATGCCCTGGTGGAGGCCCTCAGGTGGACAGCAGCCTGGGTGGGACACAGTCAGCCTGTGAAAGTGGCTGGGACTAGTAGGCCCACAGCCAGGTGTGCAGTCAGGCAGCACATGCTGTGCTCTGAGCACATATGGTGTGGGCGGGGCGAGGAAGGCAGGTGAGCTTTGAGCTGGAGTCAAGGCCATGCAAGATGGCGTGCAGATGGGTAGCTGAGTGACTGGGCATGATCTCCATCCAGCCTCTCACCCTCTGTTCTGGGCGCTGGGACATGTGCGCAGGGATGAGGCCCCCTAGGTTTACCCTTTCTGGGATTGGATAGGATGCTAGTTGATCAGTTCTCTATGGGTACACGCTCCTGAGATCAGCCTAATCTAGAAGACAGAGATATCCGTGACCCTGGCAGCCATGGCACACATTTAATCTGTATTCCCTGGAGTCTTTTGTGACTGGAGTCATGCAGCACAACTGCATTTGGCCTGACTTTCCACCCAGTATGATCTCCGTGCATCTGTACCATGCATGCCACTGTGTACTGCAGAGTGGCATTCCATCGTGTGGAACCTCTGTTGTGCCACTGCTGTCTTATCAGTCCCTTTCAGCCCATGTGGTTGTCTTGTTTTGACTGTTGCAGATATGCTTCCACTGCTCTAGGGTAAATGCCTAGGAGTGACTGGCTGTGCTCTGCCTCACATACCTGCTTAGCTTCCCCAGAGTCTGCCCATTCTTTTCAAAGTGCTTACACCATTTTATATCCCCACCAGCAGCAGGGGCTGCCCCGCGCCCGAGCCAGCCTTGTGGGTCAGGGTCTTAAACATCCCTGTAGCTGTGTGGTGGGGCCTCATTGAAGCTGTTGCGTGTGACTCCCTGGTCACTTATTTGCATGACTTGAACGTCTTCTCTTTTGATTCTTTTCCATTTACCCTCTAGTGTTCAATTATTTTCCCACTGTTCATTAGTTTTTCCTTGGCAAGTTTTGAGAGTTCCTCTATTCTGGCTGTAAGTCCTTTATCAGATGCGTGATGTACACATTCTTTCCAGTCTCTGACTTGCCTTTTCCTTCTCTCTCTCCTTGTGAGAAGAGTTCTGGACCTTGGCTACACAACAGTGTGAATATTTGTAACACTTGTGAACTGTGTGCTTAAAAAATGGATCAGATGATAAATTACTTTCAGCTTTCTTTGTCCTTATTTTTGTCCCATATAAGTCTCATAAACAGCATATAGTTGGTTGGGTTTTGGGTGGGGATATTTCTTATATCCAGTTTGAAAAGCCTTTTTTTAAATTCTGATCACTGTAACATGCGTTCATGTCTTCAAAATCATGTGTATTGATGTTTCTCAACAAAGTGTGTGATAATGAATTTGGATTGCCAAGACACCCATTATTAATTTTAGTCAATTTTTAACCACCCCCTTCCCCCCCGCAACTATGCCCGACTCCTTGCCTCTGGCAGCCACTAACCTGTTTACTGTGTCTTTGAACTTTGACTTAGTGGGGTTTGTTTGTTTGTTTGTTTGTTAGGTTCCACATTAAGACAGACTCTAGGTGTTTTTCTGTGTCTGACTTACTTAGCATAATGCCCCACAGCCACTCAGCCCTGGTTTAGCCTTTTTTCTGTGTGTGTTTCTGTTGGGTAATCTTAGCCGGTTCTCCGAGTTCACTGCCGTCTCTTCTGCGTCTCTAACCTGTGGTGGGCCCACCCAGGCCCCTCAGGAGCATGCTGCATCTCTTGTCAGTCCCTACCTGTGTGTTCAGCACCAGTCTGCTCCACAAGCTTGAAGAAATCCATCCTCCCCACCTTGCCCTGCCCTGGTCTGGCTCCCGGCCCACTGGGAAAAGCTTCCCTGCCCCTTCTTTCACCTGCCGAAGCTCCAGCTGGATTTCACCAGCTTGGAAGATGGTGCTGGTACTCCTATGTGTTTTCTTGGCTTTTTTGGGATATAGTTTGATGCTTTTATGTTTTGCTGTAAAGCTTTGTGCCAAGGACCAGAGAACATTCACCAGGCCCCAGTTTGGCTGGGCCTGCAGTGTTCAACCTGCTGCTTGGGGCCTAGGGACACCCTCTGGTGGTGGGAGCCGGCGCTGCTTTCAGTCTGTGTGAGCAATGGAACTGTTCTGTCTCTCTGGGCGGCCTTTTTGCAGTGGCTTCCTCACAGGCCTGCACTGGCAGCTCCTCTGTGTGCCCCTCTGCCACTTTCCCACCTTGTGCCCTGCTTCCAGAACTGCTGCCTCTCAGGCCTGCTCGCTGCCTTGAGCCTCTTTCTGTATGAAGTTCCTTCTGGTGGGGGGTATGAAGTTCCTGTCGTGGGCACACCTGTGTCCTGCCCTCACTACCTGGTGTTGAGTGGCGTGAAAACCATTGCTTGTCACATACACTAACAGTTATTTTTAGTTTTCCACCCAAGAGGTAGACCAGTCCCTGCTGCCGTGTTTTGGCAGGAGATGTAGGTCGCCACCTCTGATGTCTGAAGAGCCAACAAGTGCTTGTGCGCCAGGCTGGAAGCTGGGCAGAGGTGAAGATTCAGTTCTGAGGCCAGCAGGCCTGGACTGGCTCTTGCATGTGTGTGTAGTGTGCACACATCCACATGCATGCATGTGTGGCACAGTGTTCAGCCACCTTGCCTCAGGACAGTCTCATGGGGACATAACGCCTTGTGAAATGTCCACACTCCGGCTTGAGGTTCATGAGTGGCTTGGCTCTGGTTGCCCAGTTAGACTTGTCTGCAGGTTTGGAGAGACACCCTTGAGTTGGCCCATGTTTTCCAGAGCACCTGCCCAATGGGTCAGGTCCTTCCTGTGTGTTTGGAAACCCGGCAGGTCTGGTAAGCCCAGGGCTGGTATGCAGCTGGGGATTGGGCTATTGCCCGGGGTGAGGCAGGTCCTGGGTAGACACGGATTTGTGCCTTGGTCTTTTCCTGAGACCAGGTTGGAGGAGGAGGAACACAGAGACAGAAATCCCAGAGCTGAGTGGACTTACTTTGAAAAGAAGCCAGTATCTCCCAGGGCGGCCTGTGTGTATGGCTGTGTGTATGAGCAACACCTGCCCCGTGCTCAGAGGGAGAGCGGTCAGCCTGCCCAGACCTTGCCTCTCGTAGCCAGTGCTCTGCTGACAGAGACCCGTCGCTTTCTGCATTTTGTTTTTTTGTAGTAGAAACTGTCTTGCTCAGTAGCATCCTTATATACAGTTTTGTACATTTTCCCCATTGTTTTCTTGGGCTCATTTTGCAGACTTCCTGTGAAATACTAAATGAGTGAAAATGCTCCTCTTTCTCTCAGGAAGTAAGAGTATCAACTTCCTTTTCCTTAGGAGCCTTATAAAGAGACAGGGTTCCCTACATGGGGCAGTGGGAAAGGGACAGTGCAGAAGACATACCCGCAGGCCTGTGGTGTGGGGTCCTGGGTCCTAGGCAGTGCAGAGTGAGAAGGCAGGGGAAGCAGAGGTGCTGGCCTGGCCCTTTGCTGGCTTGATGGGAGGCCAGGGATGCCCAGACCTGAGGTTTGGGGAGGGGGCAACCCCTCTCCTTCTGGTACTGTCAGTGCTGCACCCAGGCCCTGGCAGGCAAGTGGGGTCTCCCAGCTGGGGCCTGTGTGCTGGCCTGTTGACTAGTCCTGCTGTCCTCAATTGGGCGGGACGTGGGCTCCCACCTTCAAAGGCCTCCCCAGGTGCAGGTGTCAGGTATCCCCCAGGACAAGTGAACAGAGGGTCAGGATCAGGAAGTGGAAGGGTGCCTCCCTGGGCCTCGGTTTCCCGTCTGGAGTGTGGTGGAAAGGGTGCTCTGTGGGCTGTGGGACCGCCCTGGGGTCAGGACCTGACTCTCAAGAGGGCCACGCTGCGAGTCTGCACTGATCTCAGCAGCCCGATCAGCCCGCCCGGTCATTACCCACCCCTGCCGCCTGGCCCCACCCACCCTGTCACTGTCCGCCCCTTTGGTCCCGCCCCCGTGGCCCCGCCCACCTGGTCTCTGCTCCTGGCCCCCACCCCCACCCCCACCCCGATCCCTGGCGGTGTGCTGAGGTGTTTTGTATCCTCCTGTGCACCTCCCGGTGGCCCCTCAGCAGACCCTCTCACGGTGTCTGCTCTCCACAGGCCTTTGGACAGGCGCACACGAACCACAAGAAGGTGGCGGCGGACGGCGAGAGCCGGGAGGAGAGCCTGATCCAAGAATCGGCGTCTAAGGAGCAGTACTACGTGGGCAAGGTGCTGGAGCTGCAGGCCGAGCTGAGGCAGCTGCGCAACGCGCTGGCCAACGCGCAGTCCGAGAGCGAGCGCCTGGCCTCCGTGGCGCAGGAGCTCAAGGAGGTACCACGGGGCTGGGGAGCCCTGCCACACCACCTAAGCCCACCTGCCAGCCCCGCTGTCCGGGGGCTCCTGCTGCTGCCCCGACTCCTCCCTGCAGCCCGCCTCTTGTGGGTGCAGGTCTGAGTCTTCCTGCCTGCCCCGCCCCAATGGGCCTAGCCTAGTGGTGAGGGGTGGGCAGGTGCCTGGCTCCCCCTGAGAAGTGGGGGCAGGGC